AATTTTAAATAATATTTTATTTTTCCCCAATTACATGTAAAGACAATTTTTAACATTCACTTTTTTTTTAAATTCTGAATTCCAAATTGTCTCTCTCCCTCTCTCACCTCGTCCCTCCCTGAGACAGTAAGCAATTTAATATAGGTTATACATGTTAAATCCTGGAAAACAAATGATCATATCAGTGGCGCTGTGAAAGAAGACACAGACCCAAAGGAAAAAACCAGCAACAAAATACAGAAAGTGAAAAATTGTACGCTTCCATCTGCATTCAGACTCCAGCAGCTCTCACTCTGGAGGTGGGCAGTGTTTTTCAGCATGAATCCTGTGGAATTGTCTTGGTTCGTTGTATTACTGAGAACAGCTATGTCATTCACAGTTGACTGTTGTACAGTTTATCTGTCAGTACATACAATGCTGTGGTTCTGCGGAGCAGCATTTTAAAAGAAGCTGTAGATTTTATGAGAGTGCTTTCCTGACATGGGAGACCACTTGGGCAAAGGCAGAGGGGGGGGGTGACATGCAATGCCACGTACAAGCCAAACGACCAATTTAAATGGAATAATGGGTACATGAAGTACTGTATTATGAAATAAGAGCTTTAAATATCAACTTGAAGATTATGTATTTTATCCTGGAGGTAATAGAGGGAGCTATTGAAGATTGCTGAGTAGAGGATATGGTCAGTTTTTGTTTTATTAATATTAATTGGGAAATTGTGTGGGAAATAAATTGGAGAAGGAAGTGACCAGAGACAACGCTGCCCAATGAGAAGCCTATTGCAGTCACTGAGGTGAGACGTGATAAAGGCCTGAAATAGGAAGGGAGGAAGCCAGGTAAATAGAAAAAAGGGGAAAGACAGGAAAGATTTTTCCAAGCAGAATCCCCACGATCTATTGTGGGCGTTAAGAGAGAAGAAACAGTCATGGGGGACTCCAAGGCGGCATTAATAGAAAAGTGATGGTGCCATCAATATCAATGGTAGCATCTGGAGAAAGACAGAGGGTTTGGGGGGAAACACAATCAGTTTCCTTTTGGACACGGTAAGTTTGAGGTACTGGCATGGCACCCAAGGAAAGTCAACACAGAATCAGGGTTCAGGAAAGAGTTTAGGTCAGGACCTGTTAGGTCAGAATAGGATTAAGGATGCAAGTGAAGGAATTAATCCAGAGTGTGGAAATATTATGTGACCAGAGAGAAAGAGGAGGATGTGGAAGCCAACTGCACAAAGCTGATAAACAATTCGCAGGAGCTAATATCACTGAGGGAGAGAACATAAATAAAGAAGAGCATTCAGACAGAACTCTTCCTCTCTATGCATGTGGTGACCAAAAGAATATGATCCAGAAAAGAGCCACCAAAAAAAAGAGAAAAGAACTGAAGAAAGTTGTCCCCGGGGTCAAAACAGGATAAAGTACCCGGAGCAGGGAGTGGTTAGCTCTCTAATAAAACTAAATCAGGTATTAATTTCAAAGTTACAAAATTCTGAAAGTACGTCAAACTATATCCTTCACATCTAGTTACTTCACAAAAGTAAAAATAAAAAAATCTAAAACGCTTAGGAATCATGACAAAAATAGTAAGAAGAATCTGAAGCCCAGGATGGGTCAATGTTGTAAAATACACAATAGGAGTTTCAAGTGAAAATATAAATGGTTTGATAGTGTAAAAAAAGAAGAGGAAGAATGATTACAGGGGCAAACTCCTGAAGAAGCCAGGAGGGGGTGAACTTGGTCAAAAAGAATGCCATCTTTTTTTGAGTGACCGAAGGAAAGGAAGAGAAAATGAGGGGACGACTCAGGATTGGAAGGTGGGGAGTGTGAGAAGAAAATGGAGTGTGTGACAAATGGCCTCTACTGTTTTCAGTAAGCTAGGGCCTGAGGTAGGGGAGGGAGGGGATCAAGCACACGTTGGAAGGGATTAAGTTCAGGAAGGAAGCACGTGACCAGAGGGAAGGAGGATGAGGAGGATGTGGAGAAGCCCTGAAGAACGGAGAAAAGGACTGACACCAGATAACCTCAGCCTGCTCAGAGCAGTGGGAGGGAAATCTGCAGGTGGGTCTGAAAACTCTGAATTTTTAGAAACTCTGGAGCAGGGACAGAGAACGTACACAGAGATTTATCCTTGAAACATTAAAATGGATTAAAAGCTGGGTATGAAGCCAAGTGAAGTCACAGAGAGGAAGACTGGGAGAAAAGGGATGAGTCCAGGAACTCTAAGTCATGATAAGGGAGAAGAAAACGTTTACTGTGAGTGACAGAGTAAGCAAGGCGGGAGGATGGCAAGATGAGCCTATGAGGGCAGAATTTCAACATGGTTCTAAATATCACAGGTGGTAAAATTTAAGAGACGGTGAAATCTATTCTAGGAATAGGTCAGTGAAGAGCTGAAGTCAACTGGAGAAAGAGGTCATGAGCCTGAGAGACTGAGGAATTGAGAGCTGGGGCTGTCAGGAGAGTTATCAACACGAATACTGAACTCCCCAAGGCTGATGGCAGGGGACCCAGAGAAGAGGAAGCCAGAGAATCAGGCAGAAGTAGGCCTGGGAGGGACAGGGCTGTTAAGAATAGGTATGAAGGCTTGGAAAGAGGCACTGAGGGCATGCAATTTGCTTCTGAGGCAGTGAAACTAGATGTGTGGGCAGAAGTGGGCAGAAGGGAAGAATAGTGTGGTAAGAAAGGAGACAAAGGGTTACGACAGAGCTTAGCAAAGTGCCTAGCACATAGTAGGTACTTAATAAATGTTTGTTGACTGTTAAAGTAGAAGGAAGAATAGTATACCATTCTCTGTCCACAGAACTTTTGAAAGAGAACTATCAGTAAATCTACTAAAAAATTCACAATGTAAATTTGAAATTCTGTTTTGTAGGGCCTACACCAAGTCTCACTATAAGTGGTCTTCTTGACCTTAAAAGTGCAGTGCACATTCCATCATCAATTTCAGGAAGAAAGGAAGAACAGCTAGTCTTCAAATCGGCATCATGTCTTGGTACAAGCGGTCACTCGGCTTTTGATAGAGCTATGAGGTTTCTAACACTGATGTGGGGCAAAAGATGGATAAGCGACACATAGGTCTATAGTCTCAGAATAGACTTCAAGGCTTGAGGAACAGCTGATATAGAAGTTTGCCAAGAAGTTATACTTACGTAAGGCAACTAGGTGGCACAGTGGATAGAGTGCTGGGTCTAGAATCAGGAAAACCCGAGTTCAAATCCAGCCTCTGACCCTTATCAGCTGTCTGACCCTGGGCAAGTTACTTAACCACTGTCTGCCTGTTTCCTAAACTGTAAAATGGGGATAATAAAAGTATCTCTCTCCCAAGACTGTGGTAGAGACCAAATGAGATGATATTTGGAAAGCACTGAGCACGGTGCCTGGCACATAGTAGGAGCTTAATGAATGCCTGTTTCATAACTAATATGGAAATGTTTTACATGATTGCATATACATAACCTACATAAAACTATTTACTTTAGGGAGAGAGGAGGGGAGGGAGGGAGGGAGGGAGGGAAGGAGAAAATTTGGAACTCAAAAAATTTTTTAAAATGAATGTTAAAAATTGTCTTTACATGTAATTGGAAAAAATAAAATACTATTTATTTTTATTTTTATTTTTTTTTAGTGAGGCAATCTGGGTTAAGTGACTTGCCCAAGGTCACACAGTTAGTACGTGTCAAGTGTTTGGTCTGAGGCCGGATTTGAACTCAGGTCCTCCTGACTTCAGGGCCGGTAATAAAATACTATTTAAACTCAAAAAAATAAAATAAAATGCTTGTTTCCTTCCTTCATGTACTATTTTTCTCATACTTTTATTTTCATTCTCTTCTTCAAGAACTTAATTTTGAGAAGGAAAGTAAAAACTTTTCTTTTGAGAGATAATGAGGTACTATGCATAAAGGGCTGGCTATGTGACCTCTAACCTCTCAACACCCTAGGCAATTATCTAAGACAATCAATTACAGACAAGCTGCCAATCTGCACCAGTAGGAGTTTGCACACCAGGATTCCCCCATAAGGATCAAATTACAGGTCAGGATATAAACAAAATTTTCTTCATAGAGGCAGGAAGGAATAAGGGAGCCAGAAAAACCTGGATTTGAATCCTAAGTCTCTGACGCTTGCTGGACGCTGGACGCCCATGTGCTTCAGCCAACTCCTCAGGACTTGCCTTATCTCTTAAGCTGAGGAGGGCTGTGACCTGTGCTGGTGGTGAAGAGCTATGCACAGTGATGGAGTCAGAGTTGAGCTGTGTTTATCACGGGACAGTTCTAAAACCATGACTTGATAAAAAGCAACTGCAGACGTACAAACTAAATTTAATTTCCACTTGCTTTCGGCCAATAGTGTTTGCTTAAGGATTGTTCACATATGTTCAAATGCTTTCCTTCAGATCCTTCAGAGGATCTCAAGGAACTGTCAATGATGACAGCCACAGCCAGCTCTTAAGGGGGAAATTGTGCCCTGAGCTGAAAGTTATTTGTGCCAATGGGGTAACATTATAAAAACCCCTCCTTCACCGAGCCCAGAGAAAGGGAAGAATTAGACAACAAATTCCATGATGAAATATGTACACATTTGCCAGGTTTGGCACCTGGGAATTGCCTTTTATGAGATGATAGATTGAAAACTAAATGATGCCGAAGGTGATCTAAAATCCACTTTCAAGGGGCTCAACAGCATATATGAAACAATATAACAAGAAGCTGGATCCATTCAAATCCAAGTCACCCGAAATCAAAACAGACAGTAGTCCTTTCTGGTAATGGCAACCAAGAGCCTAAACAACACAGTAATAAGTATTAATGATCTACTGTTCTAATTCCCTTCCAAGTTTTAGCAACTGAGGAGCAGTTATAACCCGTTTTATTTTCTTGCTATCTGCAGTATCAATAGATTCAACGCCGCATTGAAGTGATGACATTTTGTTACGCTTTTAGCAAGAAAAAGACCAAATGCCTTTAAACATACGAAGCCCATCACCATGACGATGGAATGACTCACCTTGCTGAAGAGGCTGAGTGTTTGAACTGGGATTCTGACTGGACGGCTGTGCTGAACTACTGGTGGCAGCCGTGGTGGTAGCTGTAACAAGCCGAACATAATGAAACTTGCTTCCAGGCACTTGAATCTGCTGAACATTGGGGGCAGTGGCCAGAGGAATAATAGTCTTAAACTGAGGCGTACTCACTCCTCCCACGGTGATGGTCTGCAAAGCTGACTTCACTGCCTATTTAATAACACAACATAGTTACCATTAATCAGAGGCTTAACGTTTGCACTGTTAGCCTTTGTTACTATCTATCCCTGTCAAGTAAAAGCATGTTGTACGTCATCATAAAGTTTTTATAACAGCCTGTTCAAAAGGAAAGGGAGAGAAAAGGAAAAGAGCTGGGAGTACGATATTCAGAAGGCAAAGGGTCAACAACTCAACCAGCAAAGCTAAGCATAATGCTACACTGGGGGAGGGGGGGTTGGATCTTTAATGATTCCCAAGCATTTCTCATAAAAATTCCAGATCTATGTGGAAACTCTGAAATACAAACACAGGGGTCAGAAGCAACATAAAAAGAGGGATCAGGAAGCTCTAATCACACAACAATCAGTCAAGATTCCAGGACTCATGCTGAAAACATGCTACCCGCACCTCCTGCCAGAGAGAGGAATGGACATGGCCAATGCAGGGACTTGTTTTGCTTGACTAGGCATTGTTTATTACAAAAGTTTTAATTTTCTTTGTTTTTCAATAGAGATAAAGGGATGGGGAGAAAGGTAGGAGAGAAGGTAGATTTTGCTAATTGAAAAAAATAAGTTTAAAAAAGAGGATGTAAGTTGAATGTAGTTAGGATAAGAAGAGAAATAGGTAACAGGGAAAAGAATTTTTGTAGCAAATTTCATATCTATATCTATATATGTATATATGTGGAATGGATTCAAATTTACAAGAATAAGAGCCATTCCCCAATTGATAAAATGGTCAAAGAATATAAACAGGCAGTTTTCATGAGAAAAAGTTCAAGCTATCAAAAGTCAGCATGAAAAAAAATATTCTGAGACCAGCTGGAAGCCGGAGCCCTGGAGGCTAAGATCCCCCGGTCTCCCGTACATGTTTTCTCACACTGGAGAAAAAACCTTAGAAATGTAATCAGTGTGGAAAGATTTTCAGATACAGGGCCTCTCTTGCTCAACATCAGAAAATCCACACTGGAGAGAAATCTTAAGAATATAATCAATATGAAAAAGCCTTCAAGTAACAGTCATCTCTTATTTCCCATCAGAGAAATCCTTTTAGATAGAAATTTTATCGCTCTAATGATTGAGGAAAGGCATTCAAACAGAGTCTAGAGCTTGTTTAACATCAGAAAATTCATTCTGGAGAGATGCCCTATATGGACTCAATGGTGGAAGGCCTTCAACCAGAGACCATCTCTCTCTCTCTCTCTCTCTCTCTCGTTTTTTTTTGTTTTGTTTTGTTTTGTTTTGTTTTTGTGAGGCAATTTGGGTTAAGTGACTTGCCCAGGGTCACGTAGCTCAGTAAGTATCATGTGTCTGAGACCACATTTGAACTCGGGTCCTCCTGACTCCAGGGCCGGTGCTCTATCCACTGCCCCACCTAGCTGCCCCCAAGATATCATCTCTTACTTTACATCAGAGCCTTATAGATTTCCTCAATGGAGACACGATTTTCTCTAGAAGATGACTAGACATCAGAATATTCATATGGGAAAATTTATAAAAGAAATGCCTTTTCTCAATGTCAGAGTCTTTATGTGGAGCTCATACTTGATTATATATTGGGGAAATCATGGTGGAGATAAAACTTATGGGTTCAAGTAATTAGGGAAGGCCTCTTATTGCAGTTTAGACTTTGCTATATTATTTCATACTGATGAAAAAGTCCTATAAATATGGTGAATTTTTCTCTGAAATCCTAATGTTTGTCATTACTCTTTAATAATACTCCACAGCATCCATATGCCATAATTTCTTTAGCTGTTTATTGATTGATTAATACTCACTTTGTTTCCTGTTCTTTTGGTGACACTAAGTGTCATGGTATAAATATTTTCGTACCTGTTGGACATTTATTTCTATAATTATTTCTTTAATCAAGAAGGTGGCACAATGGATAGTTTGCTATGCATGGAGCCATAAGACATGGGCTCAAATTCAATCTCTAGTACTTACTAGTTATGTGACCTTGGCCAAGTCACTTAACCTATTCCTGCCTGGTTTTCCTCATCTATTAAATGGGAATAATAATAGCACCTACCTCCTAGAGTAGATATGAGGAATAAACGAGATGATATTTGTAAAAACACTTTGCAAGTATTAAATTACACTGGAAAAGCTAGTTATTGTTATTAATTTCATGGGCTATGTGTCTCATAGTACAGTTAGTATACTCAAGTGGACAGTTTAGTCATTTTTCATTCAAATTCATACTCAAAACAGGGTAGAGAAAGGCACTTACTGTAACAGAGAGGGCACTGGGTTTAGAATAAGGAAAAATGGATTCAAATTCTGCCTCAAGTGCTCTCTAGCTTGTATTTCTGGGGAACAATTTAAAAATAAGCTTGAGAAATTGAATAAATAAGGTACATAATATAAAAAAAGTTGAGTAATAATAACCCTGGGTTCAATAAATCAAAAGACCCCAACTAGGGGGCTACAATTTACTAATCACTGCAAAATGCTAGAAAAATTGGAAAGCAATCTGGCAGAAACTAGGTATAGACCAGCATCTCACACTATACCCAGATTAGCTCCAAAGTATACATGGTTCAGATATAAAAGGTCCCCTAAAATATAATGGAAAAACCCATGAGGATATACATTTTGGTTTTGGCTAGGGAATGAGTTCACCACTCAACGGGGGACAGAAAGGATCACAGAAAATAAAATGGGTAATTTTCATTACATTAAAAAAAATCTAAAATGTAAATGGAGTGATTAACTGGAAAAAACCTTTGCAGAAAGTCTCCCTAATAAAGGCCTCATATCTATACTACATAAAGAACAGACACAGAATTATATTCAGGTATAGACAGAACAGACATTATAGAATAATGTCAAAAAGTGTGACAAGGCAATTTTCAGAGGAAGAAATACAAACTATAAACAATCATATGAGAAATGTTCCACATCTATAATCTCTAATGCAAAACACTAATAATTAGAAAAATTCTAAGTTTAGTGATGGTAATAAGAAAATGAGAATCAAATATTGGGGGCATTTATTTTTATTGATTGAATATTTGGTAAAAAAATTTTGTATTTTTTTTTCCTTTTCATCTAAGGGATGTCAGGTCTGAAGGACGAGAAATATTTGTCAGTTTTGAAATAAAATTTAAACAAGAAAGAAGTTCCAAATCACAAACAATTAGATAAATGCAATTAAATCAACTTTCAAGTTCCACCTGACACCCATGCAACTGGCAAAGATGATAAGAAAATGACCTGTGTTGGAAGGACTGTGAGAAAATAGGCACATGAGTTAATTTGCTAGCTGAAAAAGTCACTAAATTGTACACACCCTTTGAGTCAGTGATACTACTAGATGATATTTTCTCTTAAAGAGGAGAAGGAGTGGCAGCTAGGTGGCGCAGTGGATAGAGCAATGGCCCTGGATTCAGGAGGACCTGAGTTCAAATCCAGCCTCAGACACATAACACTTACTTAGCTGTGTAACCCTGGGCAAGTCACTTAACCCCATTGCCTAGCCAAAAAAAAAAAAAAAAAAAAGAGGAGAAGGAATCAAGCGTACAAAAATTTAACAGCTCCCTTTGTTGTGGCAGAGGATTGGAAACTAAGTTGTGATGTTCTACAACAGGGCAATGGGTGACCAAATTTTGGTATATGAATGGAATAGAACACAAATATGCCATGAAACATGGGTAATGCCAGTGAAACCTGGGAAGAGTTAGAGGAACTAATGCAGTGCGCAGTGAGTAGAATCAAGGGACTGACTGATAACAACAACTATGGAAAGGTCCATCAGTCTTTTTTGCTTACTACTAGTGCTTTGGAGTATGTTTTCATGTGGTCATTCATTGCTGCCAGTACTTCTGAAAACTTCATATCCTCTCAGCACTCATCTATTAGCAACAGCTCTTGGGACACAATGGTGTCCACTACATATTTCTGAATTTTATTGGTTATTTTGACATTATGTTTGATAGCCTCCATTTTGCAATTTCCTGTCATGCCTTCAGGATTGGTGAAGATGACAAAAAGGGAACCACTTATATTTTATTGCTTTTTATTTTGAAATTCACAAACATGAAACAGAAGCAGCACTTTATACATATTCTAAAACAAAACAAAAAACAACAAAAAAAGAGGATTACACATGAAACAAGTTCTAATATAGAGAGCTGGATTTTCTTGAGTAATTAAAAAGGTCAACCTGCCACTTTCCACACTAGCCTCACTCCTTCTGGACTTGCCCCTAGTCTATTGCCCTTTTCAGGGCTGCTCATCCACCCTTGGTGTCCACCTTCACTGAACTCTCACCCGTGGTTCCAAGAAGCTGTGGCCATGGCCACACATTGGGAAATCCATTTTGGCAGATGGGCTACACTAGTCTGAGGGTAACTGGACTGTAAAAGATCAGTTTACCCCTCAATTCTAAAAAAGGGCAATGCCAAGAAATGCTCAAATTACCAAACAATTGCACTCCTTTCATGCACCAGCAAGGTTATGCTTAAGATTCTGCCAGCTAAGCTTCAGCAATATATCTACTGAGAACTACCAGAAGCAGAGGCTGGTTTTCAAAAAGGCAAAGGAACTAGAAAGCAAACTGCCAACATTCGCTGGATTATGGAGAAAGGGAATTCCAGAAAAACATCTACTTCTGTTTCACTGACTACACTAAAGCCTTTGACTGTGTGCATCACAACAAAATGTGACAAGCCTTCAAAGAGATGAAGAGTACCAGATCATCCCACTTGTCTCCTGAGGAACCTGTATGTGGGCCAAGAACCAATAGTCAGAAGACTGGGAAAGGAGTACAACGAGGCTGTGTGATTGTTACCTCATTTATTTAACTTATATGCAGAGTACATCATGTGAAATGCCAGGCTACAGGAATCAAAAGCTGGAAGTAAGGTTGTGGGGAGAAATATCAACACTCTCAGATGTGGAGGTGATACCATTCTGATGGCAGAAAGTGAAGACAAATTAAGAAGCCTCTTGACGAAGGTGAAAAAGGAGAGAGTAAAAGCTGGC